CTTCAGTAGAATCTTGCTTGCATGTGAAATTAATGATATTGTTCTATAGTTTCCACACTCTGTTGGGTCACCCTTCTTTGGAATGGGAGTAAATATAGATCTCTTCCAGTCAGTTGGCCAAGTGGTTGTTCTCCAGATTTCTTGGCACAAATTGGTGAGCACATCCAGGGCAGCATCTGTCATTTTGAGGATTAAGGTGCGTCTGATTCAGGCCATAGTTTTTCCAATCACTTGCTGTGCATCTAAGAGCTGGACAATTAATAAGGATGATGGAAGAATTGATGCCTTTTAGCTGTAGTGTTGGAGAAGAGCACTTAACATATCATGGACAGCCAAGAGAACAGATGTGTCTTGGAGAGGGTGCAGCTGCAGTGCTCTTTGGAGGCAAGAATGATGAGGCTTCACCTCACATACTTTGGTCATGTTGCTAGGAGGGGCTATTCCTTGGAAAAGAACATGATGCTGAGAAGGGTAGAGGGTCATTGAAGGAGAAGAAGACCTTCAACCAGTTGGATTGACATGGTGACCACTGCAATGGGCTCTGTGTGTCAGAAAGTGTGAGGACGGCACAGGATATAGAGCAGGGTTCAGAGCTGTTGTTCATAGGATCACTATGGGTGGTACTTGAGTCATGGTACCGAACAACAGCATGTAGTACAAAGTGAGTATCGCTCACTAGAATTCTGCTCCATTTTCTCTTTACTTCAAACCCGATTTAGCCTCAGAGACAATTGTGGAGATGGTCGTAACAAGCAGGGCTTTGCTTGGGTTGTACGTGGGGTCACTACAACTGGCTGCCCTCTTCCCTGGGCCCCCTTACGACTCCTCCACCTTCTTGCTGCCCACACACACCTCCTTCTGCCCTCTCCTCCCCACTGGGGCTTCCTCATCGTCCCTGGGGCCTCCCTGCACCCCTCCTAGCCCTCCACCTTACTGAGGCTTCCTTACTGTCCCTGGGGCCCCCTCCCTGGGTCTCCTCACTTCCCCCCCCACGTCCTCACTGCCCCTCTCCCTACTGGGACTGGGGCTTCCTTGTCGTCCCTGGGGCCTCCTCCTGCACCCCTCCTGGCCCCCTCACTTTCCCCCAGCTTGTCCTCAGCAATGGTCATCACGGAGTGAATGACAGGTTCCTGTACGGCAGAGACGGTGAGGCTGACGTGGACTGGGAAGGGTTTGTGCCCTCGGCCATTGTGTGGCTAGGATCTGAGGCTGACCTCACGCCCCTGCATGTGTCCATGGCATCCGTACAGACCGGCTCGCTAAGCCTCTCTTCCTCAGCCTCTGGTGGACTTGAACCTTGGACCTGGCACTGATCCCAACCTGTGCATACAGTTCCCTGGCTCTGACCTTTCAGGAGCAGCTGGCCAGACCCATCCCTCAAGGAGGCTCCGGTGGGGGTGAGACCTCAGCCCTGGCGTCCACCAGGAGGAAGTGAAATGTCATGGCCAGTGAGGGGACCACGGAGGAGGACTGCTTACTGTCTTGGCCGTATTCGCAAGGTCTCCTCCTGGGCCTGCATTCTGCAGTGGAAATGCAAGTGGATTCCAGCCAGCAGGGCCAGGCTGGGCGCTGCAGGACAGTGCAGGAGGGTCAGTGAGGCCACAGTCCTGTGTGCCCTCTCCACGTCTCCCTGGGTGCCCAAGCCCTGCCACTGACCCCTCCTGGCCTCGTGTGCCCGTAGCTTGTTCACTTGAGGCTGGACGCCGCCCAGATCAGCTGTGTTGACAAGGCCAATCTCAGCCAGCTGGTAACCCGCTGAGGGTGCGGGGAGGTGACTCACATGCCCCTGTGGGACGCCCCTGTGGGGACAGCATGTGCTCTGTGGTGACCTCAGGTGGCACGCTGCTGGCCAGCCATGCTGTGTGCTCCACACCGTCCTGCCCCGCAGCCAGGCCCCTTTCTGTGCGCCCTGCCTGCTCCTCGTGTGGTGACATCACCAGGTGCCAATGCGGGGTCTGCACCTCTGGCAGGCTCAGGGCCCCCACCGAGACCCCCACCACCGTGCACTCAAGTGCTGTGCACAGCTGCAGCCTCCCACAGAAAAAAAGGGAGCCCGGGGGTGACCCTGTGCTGGGACTCCAGGTTCTGTGGGCTTAGATAAGCATCACCGGTGACAGACGCTCTGGTGGCTTAGTGTGTAACACAGAGAGTTACTAACAACAGGTCAGCAGTGTGAATCCACAGAGAAAGATGGCTGGTCCTCTCCTGTTGAGTAACAGCCACAGAAGCCAGCCAGAGCGTCGCTGCGTGGGGAGGGGCCGGGCGGTAGGCCTGGGAGTCCTTGCGTGGGGACGGGCCAGGCAGTAGGCCTGGCGTCTGCTGCTTGTGTCTAGAGCCCCAGACTAACACAGCTCCTGGGGCCTGGACACAGCTGTGCAGCCGCGTCTCCACTGCATGTCTGCTGGGCAGCCCCTGCCTGGACATCCCCTCTGGTTAGGAGGGTGGATGAGGCCCTGGGGGCCAGGCCCTGCTCCCAGGCCCTGGAATTGATCAACACTACCTGCCCTTCAGCAACCTTACCCCCCTCCAGTGCTCCCCTCTGTCAGTCAGTGACCTCCACACAAGGGCCACCACAGGCCCTGCCACCCACCAGGTCCAGTCCACACAGTCCCCACCCTCCCTGAAGTGGGGGACTAAAAACAGGGCCTGCTCAGAAA